CTCGGAGTTCTTTTGCCGAGGGGGTCCGGAGCATGCCCTCTGTGAGATCGGATGGGACTCATTGTTGACTCATCATCACTCCAATAAGCTAAAGACTTAGAGGAAACTACAGCCCGTCTCTGATTTTTCTTTTTCAAAGGATTCCCAATGGTGAGAAGGAGAAATTCACTTTTCCAAATATTATGGGGAAGGGGAAAAGATCAAGAAGGCAAAGTACCAACCTGTGTTCACTGAACACAGAATTATCAAGGACAATTTTCTCCAACAGCTCAATGAGTTCATTAGGGAGGTCGGCAGTCATGAAAGCCTTGACGGTAACAGAGACCTCTTCAGGATCCTGAGTCTCAGAGAGAGCTGTCTGCACAACCTACCAACATAAGAAGGGCAACGGTCAACTGAGTATTGTTTGCTTCCAAACGCATCCCACGCGCAAACAAACGTGGGGCATCAGACAGTGTACCTGGTCAATGAGGGGCCGCCGGTAAGGGTTGCTTTCTAACAGCACGCTGGCCCACAGTTCTGGATCCTTACGGCGCACCAGGTAACGGGACAGGCTCTTGAAGAGTGAATTCTCATTGCATACCTGGAGGACAAAAGGATTGACAATGATGATGAGGGCCTGTTTTGGTGGGAGAAGGAACAAAGTTTCACAGTTCCAAGACTTCGTTTCTGAGGCATGAAAAACAAAGGGGGGATATAAACCTGCTGAACTCTTAACTAGCTTGGAACTGGCTTTACTGCAAGCCAGAGTCTTAGACTCAGTTCCCAAAATGTACAGACCAAGGATAGCAATGCTTTCACTTCCCATGAACAATCAAGTTTAATATCACAAGGGCCACAAAGAATGTAAAAAAAGGTCTGTACAATCCCTGATGCCCTTATCAGTGCATACAGTGACACCTATAAAAAAATAAGTTCTATGTGAGAATCTGCACACTAGCAAGCCAGGAAAATCCATCAGAGCTATGAGATAATGTTAGGCCCAATTTTAAGCTGAATGTCATTGCTTCCTGCGTAACTGGAGCGTATCCCCCACCAAAACCTGACCAGCCAAACACGGGCTTCAGAAGGCTGCCAGAGAGCAAAGAGCCCAGCTGTCTCTGAGGACAGACCTTGTAGACCAGCACTGCACCACTGCTTGTGTTACTTGGACCAAAGCAGAGACAGTGGTGCTCACTGTTAGGCGAGCTGCCTTTCAAATGCTGGATGGAATGAGGGAACCGCTACTTGCCCTTCCCTCCTCCTGGCCATTTGGTCCACCTCCCTCTACCACTTGAGGCAGCCAACAGGGACCCCCCAGGGAAGAACGAGAACTTAGCAACAGATCAGTTTGAAAGTTCCATCTACAGTATTGTGATTCAAAATGATTTAAGGCAAAAGGCTATGAAAAGCATGATTCCAAGTTCTTGAAAAGCCATGGATTCTGAACAGTTAAGTGCAAAACAGTTAATGTTTTGCACACAGAAAGTCCTGGGTAAGGAAGTCCCTTGCCACACACAGGAAATATTGGTCTAGATGGACCATTAAGCCATTTCCTGCTATCTAGTCTTCTGCTTTCTCAGCAGATGTAAATACCGAGTGGATTCTACAGCCTCAGATAAATGAATCAGGAACCCCCTTCCCCAATGATTCATCTTTAGGCCCTCCTGTTTTGATCACCCTCTTTCAGGAAACGCACATTGATAAGCTCCTGGTCACACTGCCCTCGCTCATAAGCCACACAAGCCAGATGCGGATCTCTCTTCTCACAGTACTTCCCCACCACACGGCTGTCATAATAGGGGTTCTCTCGCAAAAACCTTTCAGGGTTATTGTTACTATCAATGTAAATTTTAGCCAGTGCGTTGTGTGTAGCTGGTTCTTCACAACCCTCATGAATTCTGGCTTCCAGCCACGGCAAGAGGAGTTTCAACCTAAGGAGAGAACAGGCATTGGGTTTTAGATAGCTCCCAAACTCTGCGCACAGTTCTTGTCCTCTAGGACACAGCATCCAAGTACAGAAGAAGCTGGCAAGCAGATTTAAAGGAGAATCTGAAGCTACACTTTTGCATATTTTTATGTATCCATAATCTGGCTTACTCTGTTCAGTTGCTAAGCTTCAAGAAGTAATCACCCATTACCTTACAATTACAACATCATCATCCCACTGTCTGTGGTACATCAAGTGGTCGCAGAAGATGCAGACTGCTCTTATCAAAACTTCCTAGGGTTGAAAGGACCTTGGGAGGTCATGTATTCCAACATTCTGCCCAGTGCAGGAATCTTCAGATCATCCTGGACAAATGTCTATCTAATCTTTTCTTGAAAACCTGCAGTGATGGAGCACCCACAACTTCAGAGGGCAGGCTGTTCCACCGCTTAACAGCTTTCACAGCTTTTGATGATACTCAGAAAGAATCCCTCCACGAGGAGCATGCAGCACCAAGGCTACTGTTATTTCAGCAACTACCCAAAGACCTAACTGTTTATTTGTGATGCTTGCTGCAAATGAAGATGATTGGATCTGTTGTCAGCTTCATCTTCTGGATTAGACTGTTCACTATTTTTTTAAGATTTTAATAGTGATGCCCGCCCTAGGATTTTCCTTTAGTGACCAGAATATAAGGAGAATTAAATAAGGGAAAATTCACACTGAGTAATATCAGAGGGACCAAAATGCAAAGAAAGTTCCAAATCCCTGTGTCAGATCTCAGAATTGTAGCTTTCTCCAACCAGCCTCCCTCTGGTTGATAAAGCCTAAGCCCAATTTTATCAAGGGACAATGCATGTTCCCTCCATTCAGCTCCTTCCTATTCCTCACTGGCAAGCGAGGACCATATTGGCTATTCAGCCAGTTGCTAGGCCTTTCCATTCTTCAAACACTGAAAACTGCAAACTCTTAAACCACCAGTCACAGGAAGTTACCTGTTCCTTTTTTCCACTTCAGCGACAAGTTCATCAGTGGAGAACTGACCTCTCACCACCAAGATCAAGTTCTTTATGACGTCTTCAGAGCAGTCCACGTCCAACAAGCCGCCAATGACCACTGGCAGACGGCTTGGGTTCACCTGCCGCAATAATTGATTTCAATTTAATTAATTAATTAGATTAGATTTGGTGTAGCTGCCCACTCCAGAAGACTCTTACAAAATCCAAAAGAACAGTAAAACAATTAAAGATCATGTTAAGACCACTAGCGACAACAGAATCCAGGCCTCCTGAAATTTCATAGAGGATTCGATACATGAAGAAGCTTCAAGCAATCGCCACTGTGGAGTTCAGTTAAGGAGCCTCGTTAAGCTGCTAACATCATGGCAGCTGGGTTTCAACTAAGGACTATGGTTGCCACCATTTTTTGCTCCAAGAATGCCTCTGCAGTCAGAGACATTCTTGAAAATACAGACGATGGCAGAGGCTGTCATTTTGCAGTATGCTAGCTTTTTCTGTATTGCTTTTTTAAAATTAGAAGACTCTCTGAAAAACATGTGGCAGGAAGTCTGCCAGAGTCCTAAGCAACATTCAGGACCATACAGGTGGCATAAGGACACCCCATTGAGGATCCAGCACTAGATACACTAAGGGACTGTCACTTTATTAAGAATCTCTATTCAGATTCTCCCACTGAAATTTTTTTACAAGTGTGACATTAAAGTCAAGTTGCTATTTAGGCTATGCGCGCCGTTTCCTGGATGTGAACTGAATCCGTGCCTTAACAGAAACTGATGGTCTTACCTTTTGCACGTAGATCTCAATATATTTTTGGAGATTGTTCCTATACAGATACAGCACCAGGTCATGGACAAAGTCAAAGCGGTCACAAACAATGATCAGTGGGAGCTGGTCTGTCAGTTTCGCTTCCTGCAAATAGAAAGCAGGAATTTGTTTATTCATCTAATGGATGTTAAAGGGCTACCCAGCTCTACAGTAAAAAGCAAACAGTACACCAAAAAAATAATAATGTAACATTAAAAAACCTACCCAATATATAAAATAGTGACCAAACATAAGAAGTGATCAATATTTGCACGGACAAGCGCAAGAGGTCAGGAATGAATCCCCATTCAAATGTCCCCTTAAACAGGACACGTTTCAAGGTCTCCTTCTTCTTCCAGCTCCTCTAAGTGTCATTCATTTTAAAGCTACTGAGGATCCAAACACTGCTTTTCAGCCAGCATAATTGCCAGAAAGAGTTTTACCAAAGCACAAGACCACAAAGGATTACAAGCCTATTCTAAGCATCGGTATTTATCAGCTGCAGCAATTATCGAGCGCACAGGATGAACTCTGGGATTGCAAGGGCTAAGATATAGGCATCTCCCCGCCCCCCCCCCAGGCTCAGAAACTGCAGTGAATAAAAAATTTCCAGATATCCAGAGAGGGACATTTTTGCCAACTGGAAAAATATAAATGCTCCCCTAATTCTGCTCCCTAACACATGCATAGGGAAAGGTTGTGGACTGATATTCAAGACTGCCTTCATCCAAATGGAAGATCCTCACCTGATTAAAACAGACTCTTGCTTATAGGCCAAATGCTTGAAGCAGGGCGCTGAAACCTTTTCCAATCAGGAGCCACACAATCTAACTGTAGGTGAGGGAGTAACTGTGACAAAACTCCCTCCTCTCTTTCCATCACTGTCCCTTCCCAATGTCCTCTTAAGGGGGAATTTACAACTCCACTCATGCTGAAGTTCATAAAAAGTGAGGTTCCGCTCCTCTGTGTAAGAATAGTCTGGACGCTTTTAAGTAGGTATGCCAAGGCTACGAATTGAGCCACACCCCAGCATTGTGTTCAGGACTGAATCCCGGGAAGTTAACCTAGGCACCATTTCCTCCATCTGGTGCCCTCCAGCTGCATTAGGACTGCACCTCCCAGAATTCTCCAGCCAGGATGCTACTCACGAGTGGAAACCGAAGGCGTGGGCTGATCAGCAAGGCCACTAATGGAACATTACCTGGTACATGTCCTGAATATTCCACAGACCCCCGGAACAGCACAAAAGACAACAGACCGTCAGAAAACAATGGACACAAAGAACGATGATGATTCATAAGTTGCTCTCCAAGGCAGCTGTTGAGTTGCCTTGAAACCATAACCTGCCTCATGCCAACCCTTCCATCTACTTTCCCCCCCGAAAATCCAAGGGGATGGTAACAGCTCTTGGAACAGCAAACTGAAGCGTGTATGATAGCTGCATGTACCAGAGCAGTAGTCGCATGTCTCTATTTTGCAGGAAACTATCTTGTGGCCCTTTAAAATAATGCCTTTCCTACCGCACGAGTAATTTTGTGAATTAGTCCAAGATGTTGGTGCCCCTTCAGCGGAAAGCCGCCCCTAGCAGCCTTTCACATGGGGACTGCCTGCTGTCCCTCTGTGGAATTCAAAGAAAAGCAGAGCAGCCAGAGGAAACCCCTTCCCCCGGAGATACTTACTTCACACCTCTGTCTGAGATGCAAATAATTGGCACATAGCAAGACCACCTATTCTCGTGAGTGGCTCTTTATAGCATCTACACACAAGTCATTGATCCAGATTTCCCTCCTTTCAATGAAAGAGCACCTGTCTAGTGAGAATTCAGGAGTGCGCTGACTCAAGACCCTATCATAGTTGTGCACAGCAGAGATGTCACTGATTTAAGGCTCAGCTTTGACAATCTGAAAGTCTGATTTCAGGTTTCTCATGTTGTTGTTGCATGAAAGAGCTGCTCAGAGACCTGCCAGACAGGAACAGCATATAAGCCCAACAATTAAAAAGTAAGCTAATAAATAAATACTAAGGTCAAGCCCTGTATTACTACCTTGATCAAAGAAGCAAGAATCACATAGACCAATAAGAAGTTTTAATGCACAAATTAGGGGTAAAGTACAGAATCTTGGAAACTTGCAAAAAGACCCTCCAGCCTTTCTTTTATTGAGTGAGTTCAAAAGCAAAGTTTTGAATCTCTTCTTTCCAGGCTTCTGGCAAGCTGGTCCAAGCTGCTCTTTATGCTAACAAACTCCTCTCCCATCTGTGGATTATGTCGAGGATTCCTCCAGGTTCTTTCTCAGGCTCCTCCTAGTCCAGTATTTTTCAAACTTGGCAACATTAAGATGGGTGGACTTCAACCCCCAGAATCCCCCAGGCAGAATGCTGGTTGAGGAATTCTGGGAGTTAGTCCACCTATCTTAAAAGTTGCCAAGTTTGAAAAACACTAGACTAGTCTCATCATTTAGAGAACCAGTATGGTCTCTAGTATAAGTAAGGTCCCAATATGGGGTGGGGGGGCAAGGGACGCTTATTCTTTTACCTTGAGGAAGTTCTTCACACGCTCTGGGTCATAGCAGTTGCTCTCTCTGCAAATTCTTTCCACCTCTTTAATTTGGCCCGTCTTACAAGCAGCTTGGATATATTTGAAGTGCACGTCTGGGTCTTGGCTGAAGTTGACAATAGAGCCCAGGAAATAGAAGAGACCTTGAAGGAAGAGGAAAAGAAAAGGAGTGACAATTAAAAGAACCTGTCAGGGAACTTTGGAGCTGGAAGTAATAGATTTTTCATTTGCTGGAAACACGCGCTTGTAGCCACAATGCAATAGCTTTCAATGAAACATTAAGCGCAAGTCTCACTCACTACTGATGCTGAAGCAAGAAATGACAAAAACAGATCTAAGGAAGCTTCTTCCCCCAACCTAATTTCCTCTGTATGTGTTGAGGCTCTAATTCCCAGAATTCCTCAGTCAGCGCTGTTGTATGTGGGCTGGAGAATTCTGCGAGTTGCTGTCCTACCACATTCAAAGGACATCAAATTTGGAAGAACCTGATGTAGAGGTTTATATTAAAAACCATTTTAACCATTTAACCTTACATAGGATTCACATTTTGATTCAGGTGGTTGTTTTAATTTCATGTTACTGAACTGCTTTGTTTCCACATACATTTGTCATTTTTTTTTCAAAACGAGGCCAGATGGTCTTGCGTGAGAAATGCTGTAATGCAGTGGTTTTCAAACTTGGCAACTTTAAGACGGGTGGACTTCAACTCCCAGAATTGCCCCACTAGGTGGCTGGGAATTCTGGGAGTTGGTCTACCCATCTTAAAGTTGCCAAGTTTGAAAAATACTGCTGTAAGGGATCCTGCCCTGAGCAGAGCATTGAACTAGGTAACTTCTACAACCTCTTCCAATTCTGTGATTCTATGAAAAAGTATCTGGAATTTTGAATATGCTTTGTGTACTAATGAATATCTCATTGCTAAAATGTACAAACTCTGCACAAACAAGATGAATTTGGAGAATGAATACGTTAAAGATTGTATGGTTAAATGGGCAAAAAACTTTGGATATAATATAATGTTAGACCAGTGGGAAAATACATGGAACAAAGAGTTAAAGTTTGCTCTTAATTATATGTTAAAAGAAAATTTTTACAAAATGATGTACCGTTGGTATTTGGCACCAGGTAAATTGTCAAAGACGTAAAAAAGTATCTCAAATGTCTGTTGGAAATGTAATCAATGCAAAGTTACATCTGGTGGACTTGCGAAAAGGCTAAGAAATATTGGAATATGATATGTACTTTGATTCAAAAGA